GGTAGGGAGACTTCATAGTCTATTGTAGGGTGTGGTAATTATTTTAAAGGTTACCAGACTAGTGCTAAGGAGTTGGAGATTAAAGATTTCCCCAGTTCCAATTCTCCCAAGATGCTGTGCTGTTCTGGTAGAGGGTGCTGTTCAGTCATAAATTTGGAGGTCAGGCGGAGGTGAACCAAATTAAGGGTCGAGAATCAAAAGCCAAAAATGTCAAAAGCTCACAACAGATCTTCTTGTCTCTACCAAAGCTCAGTCAGGAAATAGAGGTATGGCTTTCCAGGTGAGGTGATGTGTGTTAGAACGTGCACTGGTACCAACATAGGCACCCCAGCCAAGCGAACAAAGCATTGTGTCTTTAAGTCACACCCTCTACGAGAGTCTAAAGACACCCCCAAGGAAGAGGGTGACTAGGTTCACATTCTCAACTAACCTCCCGTCTTAATCCCACTCTAATCCCGTCCACTAGCGTAGTCTAGTGTAGTAGAGAATGCCTTCTAAAATGGGATGATAGCCACAGGTTTGGAGCCCAGAATTATAATACAGCACATAAGGAGCAGTGGGTCCACATAGTAGTAATGGGTAGCCATATTAATTGACTACAACTCAAGAGATCATAGTGTAGGCTGCACAAGGGAGGTTGAGTCATTTGGCAGAAGTGCATTTCAGAGGGTGAGGGGGCTAAAAATGGCAGGGTTGGTAGGGATGAGGGTCAAGGGGAAATGAGATTGATATACAGAATTGCTTGCTTGAGCAGGTGTATTGCACTGTATTGGAATGTGTGTGGAATGTATGGAATGGGGAGCACATGCCTTACCTGGGTGAATGAAATGACCTCCCAGGTGATTTTCCAAACTAACCCTGGCTCCCCTAGTTAGCTAGCCCTAACCCCCAGTCCCATTCACAGAAAAGCTAATGTGATTAAAATCCTTTTTGAGGTATGCAGGGGCCAGATCATATAGGGCTTTGGAAGTCTGGAATGGATTTTAATCAGTTAAATCATTGCACAAAAATCCATTCCAGACTTCCAAAGCCCTATATGATCTGGCCCCTGCATACCTCACTCATTTCTC